CTTTTAAGGGAGAAGCACAGAGGCGCAGCCGGCCCGTCGCTCGGTACATTCCGCGCCGGGGCGCTGGACGGGACGGACAGAAGACGACAGCAGCTCAAAGGTCACCAGGCTCACAGACAGACGGACGGACACGCCCGCATCCCCCGCGGTGCCCCGGACAGTCCTGCGGGGTGGGGGAGTTTAGTGCTGCATGGCTGCAGCCTGGTCCTGGCCGGGCGGCTCGCTCTTGCGGGGGCTGCTCCCGGCACCCCGGCCCGGGCGTTCCCCCTTCCTGTGGCCCCGGATGCAGTGGGCGTTGCCGCAGCCCTCGTCGTCTTCATCCTCGCTCTCCGTAGAGCTTTCGCCGAAGGCCCGTGGCTTCTCGTAGATGCAGCAGCCTGGGTGGGAAGTTACACGGGGGATGGAGGGGTGGTTAATTGGGGAGGGGAGGGGGCAAGGGGAGGTTAGAGGAAGGTGGGGAGACATGGTGGGGTGAGGTTAAAGGAGACGGGGGTCACGGAGGGAGGGGAGATTAGAGGGAGTAGTGGGGGTTCCACGTGGGGAGGGGAGGTTAGAGGGGGCCACGAGAGGGTGTGTGGCACAGGAATAAGAGGGTGGGGGCAGTGCAATGCCAGGGAAGGGTGGAGAGCGAGGCAGGAAGTCAGAACCCTCCCCCAGTGGCCGGCCACCACACAGCACCGTGGCCCAGCCTGGGGGGCAATGGGGGACAGCCCAGGCTGCTGATGGCTCCCCGATTCCCCTGGGGCTCTCGCTCTGAGAGGAGGATGCTGGGAAGGGCCGTAGGACCCAGGAGTCCTTTAATGATCTCCCCTAACGGGTGCCCCCCCCCCTCCCCTGCAGTGGTCCTGCAAAACAGCTGAGCCCCGCGAGTCGTGGGGCTCCGCTCCTTGGGGAGGCCTTCACCCGGTTGGCCACTGAGAGAAGAACTCTGGTCTGGGAGAAGGGGGGGAGGATTTGAGATGATCAACCGGAATGGGACCCCGGCTGGTTCAAGCTATGGAGAAAGAACTTGGCTCTGATCTGGGCAGGCGATTGGCTGGCTCAGGGCGTGGGACCTCCAGCAGCAAAACGAAAGGCAAAGGGGTTTTGTGTTCAGGATGCGGAAACACAAGGGGAGGGAAGGGGAACCCAGCAGTCCTGCCTCCCCTGCGCTAACCACTAGCCCCCACGGCCCTCCCTGCTCCGAGCGATCTGGCTAAAGGCTCTGTACCTGGACAGAGAGGGGCTCCCGGGAGAGGGAATCTCGGAAGGTGAGCACTGCAGCTACTCACATTTGGACGACCTCCGGCCCAAGTGCTCATTGTCCACCGTGTCGCTGGACCACTCCACCTTCTTGTCCGGCTTCCGCTTCCTCAGCTTGATGGTCAGGCTGCGG